CAGTTGATATATATCTATCATTTAGCTTTGAATTGGAAAGAAATATCATAATTTTGGATGGATATGGATCCATTTGATATAGTTTCTTCCATTACAGTGCTCCTTAAAGGTATGCAACACATAACCCAGATCTTATACCATTTTATTTGTCATTTTATTTTTGGTTAGAATTTAAAGAGATCTGTAGATATGGGGTTTGTGTAAAAAATTCAAGCCTTCTGCTCCATTTGTTCAGTTTCATTTTTACTTTATTTTTCCCTACTTTTTTGGTTTGTGTGTACTTTATCTTTTGGGAATTTTACAAGTTAGTTCAGTGTGTTTTTATTTATTTATTATTATTTCTTTTATCCAGAATTGAGTTCTTGAGGGTTAAGACAATGAGTCTAACTTGTACATCCTGTTTCATGATTTGGAATTGATGTTTCTACGCAATAAGCTGTTGAATTTTAATTATTGAAAGTAGTGGTCTGTTAATTTTTTTAATAATTTTTGTCCCAAGTTTGTGGGTCTTCTTATTGACTTCAATTGGTGAATTTATATTTTTTTTGGTGTATTAGGCATGGTTTGTTAGGCCTAATTTTCTATTTCTTTGAAGAAAAAATTGTAGATATTCTTTTTTCACTTGAAGTGGTAATCTTGTGTTAACTTATGTTGAACTTAATTTACAGTTTACAGGAAACAAATTGTATATATTTCGGTTGATATCATAAGTTAACACAAGATTGCAAACATGGTAGCCAACTCTCAACAATTTGGCACTAGACTCAACACTCCTAGACATGTTATGAGGTAAATGTTTCATCTCTTGAACAACAACTTGTGAGTCTAACTTATCTTGTTCGTCAAATGGCTGTAGGTAATATGCAAATGGTGAAGGCATATGGAATTTGCTCGATGGCAAGACATCCAACTGACATGTGCCCAACTCTCCAAGAAGATAAACTAGTTAATGCAGTAGGCAGTTTTCCTGGACAACCACAAAGGAATTATAATCCTTACTCGAACGTCTACAATCCAGGATGGAGGGATCATCCTAATCTTAACTATGAAAATCAACAAGTGAATCAACCAAACTTCCAGCAATACAGGCAGCCATATCTTCTTAGACAACAACATGACCAAACTTTAAGTTCAGTTACGCATTTAGAAGATATTGTTAAGTCTCTTGCTACTAACACTTTGCAATTCCAACAGGAAACAAGGGCAAGTACTAAAAGTTTGGAAAATCAACTGGGTCAAATGACAACCACAATCAACATGCTGGAAGCACAATGTTTGGGAAAATTACCTTCTCAAACAATGGTCAATCCAAGGGAAAATATAAGTGCAATCTTGTTGAGGAGTGGTAAGGAAGTTGAAATTCCAAGGGCAATCCCTATATCATTGGAGCAGGAAAAGGATAAAGATGTCCTTGAAGAGAAGAATGTTTCCAACGACAATGACATACCTTAGCGTAAGTTTCCACCTCTTTTTTATTACAAACTGGTACCCCCTTTCCCTCAGGCTTTAGTAAGATATAGGAAGGATGAACGAGATCATGAGCTTTATGATACTTTTGGAAGATGCAAGATAAATGTTCCGCTTATAGATTCTATTAAACAAATATCTCGTTATGCTAAATTTTTGAAACATTTGTGCAAGAGTAAGGGGAAACAAAAACTCAAGGGATATGAAAAGATAAACGTTAAGGATAATGTCTCTACAATTATTCAAAGAAAACTCCCCGCGAAGTGCACAGACCCAAGTATGTTTACTATTCCTTGTACGATAGGCGACACTAACTTTGAAAAAGCCATGATAGAATCAGGAGCTTCTATTAATATCATGCCATATTCTATATACGCTTCTTTGAAACTTGGACCTTTAAATGAAACTAGTGTTGTGATCCAACTAGCTAATGAATCTAATGTCTATCCTAAGGGTTTAGTTGAGGATATTCTTGTGAAAGTTAATGATTTGATTTTTCCCACTGATTTTTATGTGCTTGATATGGGTAATAATGATCAAACTACCCCCATTTTGTTAGGAAGACCATTCTTAAGGACATTCAAAACTAAGATAGATGTTTATGATGGCACACTTACTATGAAATTTGATGATAAAATTGCTAAATTCAATATTTATGATTCCATAAATGCCCTAATGATAATAATCTTGTTTACTCTATTAAAATGGTTGATTATTTAGAAAAGAAAATTTTAGAACCTAATGAAAACAATGCAGTGAAAGTTTCCATTGATAAGCATATTGAGGAGGTGGATCAGGAGTTACCCCAAATACTGCTTTACAGGAAACTGTTGCAGCATTGAATACTTCTCCAAAGTCAAGTAAAAGTTTGCATAGTGCTTTGTCTTTTTCTAACAAGAGACATTTCTATGCAGGTTTCCAAATGAAGGAGGTGAGAATATGGGGCCTTGGAAATCCAATTGATGCCAGTTGAAGAAGGAAACAATAAGTCTAGCCAAAGACAATAAACAAAGACTCTGCTTAGGAGGCAACCCAAGGGGAGTTCGTTCCGTTATCTTTTTATTTTTATCTTTTTACATTCATATGTTTGGTTAATGTTATCCTTTTCTTTGCATTTTACCTGACATTGGGGACAATGTAAGTTTTAAGTGTGGGGGAGGAAATTTTGTTGAGTCTAAAATTTTCAGTTAGTATTTTTGTGTTTATTTTTGACTTTTTGATAAAACTTCGACATAGGAGGGAGAAAACAAAGTGGTTTTGAACGATTTTAGTTGTGTATGCTATTTGCTAGATTCAATTAAGCTTCTGAAAAATTCATAACATGATTGAATAAGTAATCTCACAACTTAGAGTTAACTAGTTAAGTTATTTTCTTTGAGGATGGTAGTAACTAAATTTTGTGGACAAAAATTCGGTGAGATTTTGAGCCTTTAGACTGATACATCTATATCAGTCTCACTATTTTCTTTCATGAGTGATTTTCTTCCATGGAGTTGTTTCTTTAGAACTTGCCTTGATTCTCTTCGAGGTCATATTGTTACATGCATGCATGAACATGATTAAGGTCATCTTTGTTACGTAAGTTAACCACCTAAGCCAAATAGCCTACCTCGTAGTTAATTTTACCAGTTGATGAACCCCTTTGAGCCTTATTGCCATACCTTTTGTAAACCCACATTACGAGCCTTAAATCCGAAAAAACAATATTCCTTACTCAGGCCATAGAGCCAGTGAGGTATTGTTCTTCATTTTGATACATGGGAGTGCGAAATAAATAGGTGTGGGGGTGTATGAATCTATGGTAGGACTACGATTGATGGAATGGAACATATTATTCAATTACAATTCATAAGTTCCAATGTTAGTGCAATATTTTGAGTAAAAAAAATCGAAAAAAA